AATAAAACAAAACTATTCATTTTGGCTTAATTATCTCTATTGTTTTCCAAATATGGAGTCCTTTTGTCTTTACAAATCCTCAAAAAAAAATAAAATAAAGCCATAAACTGATGTGCACTTTTATTATCGGAGCAGTTAAATTATATGAATGAATGAAACCGTAAAAGGACAGACATAAAAAAATAGCAGACGATAAGATTTTCATTTAAAATAATAGCACATTGTAATTGAAAATATCAGCTGTGTTCACACTGCAGTTTAATTGTTTCACAGAATGCCTGTTTTCCTCATCCGTGATTGCTCGAAATAAAATAGCTAATTAAAACTGTTCATTTATGTAGCTGTAATTCCACTCAATTGAAACGGAATTTTTAAAACCATCAACTTTCATTTATTTAGAAATTCTACTTAGTTTTCAAAGTGTAACAAAGAAAATAAATCTAGCAAATTACTTTTAATGAATTTTAGAAACTTTAGTTTGAAAGATTGCATGAAAGTTTTCGGTTACATGATTTACTGAAAAATAAAAATTCGACAAAACAATATTATTCCTTTTCTCAAGGAGTCTTAAATGATTTTTTAATATTACATAAACATTTAAAAGTGTCTCATTTGTATCATACAATTATTTAAGGTGTGATACACATTTTTGAAAGAAAAAAAAGAATTAATTTCTTTCAGAAAATTTCCGGCAATTCTCTACAAATACTTCAAAACCAAGAAAAGTAAAATAAACAATTAGGCGAAATAAATTTGGAAAAAAGGCATTCAAAACAAATTAGTATAGTAATATAAATTTTAAAATATCTTTAATTTTTTTATATTTTTTTTAATATATTAGATTATGTGTATATATGTATGAATTAGTTTATATGTATAGATATTAGAAACCTTATTACTTAAACTAGTCGTATGAGTAAATGATACCTTATACTTATTAAAAATGTCCTTTAAGGAAAGGCAATAATTCCAATTTTTAAAATTACTTATGAATTAATTAATGAAATTAACTAAAGGATTTCAATTTTTCAAATTATTAAATACGGATAAAATGCAGAAAAATTTTAGCAAATGATATATGAATTCATTTTTAAATTTAAATGTAAACTATTTAATTTAAATCTAGCTTTAAATAACTTCGTCTTTTCCTACAAAACAGCTGAACACCGTGTAATTAGAAGCACTGCTGCATAAAAGTAGGCAAATACATTTATACATTTTATTTCTACCGCGTTAGCTAAAATAACATTGTTGTTCTTCAGGTTTGACAAACTGCGATGATGTTTAAAACATAAAATTTTTATATTATTTTTTAGTCAAAAAATCCACATTTTTTCAGCAATATTTTTTTAATTAGAGTAATTCAGTGACATTACGGCAATTATTGCTGTAAAAATTACGGAATATCAAATTTTTGTTCTTTAACGTATTCTGGTAAAAATGGATTTTACGATAAAAAGTGTAGGTTCTTTTTATCGTAATTTTTCTAACAGTGTATACGATATTAAATTATTTAGAAAATTAGTTTACCACACCGACAATGATGTTTGACTTCCAGGCAATTTTTAAAATTAAAATTTTCTGTAATGTTTCGAAAAGTGTATCATTCTCAAATAAGAAAACTTAAGCTGCTCTGGTTTTGCCGCAAAACTATTATGTACCGTCCTAATAATAGCTAACAATTTTCTTTAATACTTTTTCGTTGCTCATTAATTATTAATAAAATTTGTAAAGCCCTCTGTGAAAATTATTTTGATCGTTTTGTTTTTAATCCTTTCACGCTAGGAGATAACTGTAAAATAGTTTTTTCGGTGAAGTCATTTCCAGGGAGATGCTTTGACCAAACATTTCATTAAATTAATGAATTTATACAATCATCAATTGATCAGAGATATGAATTCCATATAGACCATTAAACTTCTATTCAATTAACTGAGTTAATTAGGATATGAAACAGCGAGAAAAAATTAAATTAGCAATAAAGAGCGTTCTTCTGCCTGAACTATTTTGAATATATTTACCAGTTTATAGCTATATCGAGAGACAAAAATCCAAAACCATCAAGAGAAGAAAAAAAATATTTACAGTTGAAACAAAAATTAAATCAAAAAACTAAGTTTAGTTATTAACAAAAAAAATGCTTCCCTTTACTCGATATACTTAATTTCAACTTTAACTTTTCCGTTGTTCATTAATTATTAATATGAACAATATTAATAATTATTAACTTTACAATCATCAATTGATTAGAGATATAAATTCCATATAGACCATTAAACTTCTATTCAATTAACTGAGTTTATTAGGATATAAAACAGCGAGAAAAAATTAAATTAGCAATAAAGAGCGTTCTTCTGCCTGAACTATTTTGAATATATTTACCAGTTTATAGCTATATCGAGAGACAAAAATCCAAAACCATCAAAACAAGAAAAAAAAACATTTACAGTTGAGACAAAAATTAAATCAAAAAACTAAGTTTAGTTATTAACAAAAAAAAATGCTTCCCTTTACTCGATATACTTAATTTCAACTTAAACTTTTCCGTTGTTCATTAATTATTAATATGAACAATATTAATAATTATTAACTTTACAATCATCAATTGATTAGAGATATAAATTCCTTATAGACCATTAAACTTCTATTCAATTAACTGAGTTTATTAGGACATACAACAGCGAGAAAAAATTAAATTAGCAATAAAAAGCGCTCTTCTGCCTGAACTATTTTGAATATATTTACCAGTTTATGGCTATATCGAGAGACAAAAATCCAAAACCATCAAAAGAAGAAAAAAAAAACATTTACAGTTGAGACATAAATTAAATCAAATATCTAAGTTTAGTTATTAAGAAGAAAAATGCTTCCCTTTACTCAATGTATTAAACTTCAACTTATAGTATGATAGTACTTTTGTATAAGTAATATTGTATTTTATTAAAAAATTATTTGCTTTTCTTTATTTATTTGCTTAAATTTTTTCAAATTCTCATTATTATTAATCAAATTCGAATAGTTCGATATTATTTATTAAAATTAATTCGTAAAATTAATTCGTAAAATAGAAAGTTAATTATAAAATAGTTCAGATAGAAACTTCTGGAGTAAAATTAATGGTCAAAACTCCACTGTGAGACATTCCGGATCAAATTACGGTATGAAGTGCTGACACTTTGGGTGCATCCTCCGTAAAATCCTGCTTATCATAAAATCAATTTTTATTGTAAAATCCATTTTTATCGAATTTTATTCCATTTTATACAGCAATTTTATATGTCAATTTTTTTGTTCCGTGACATGTTCCGGTAAATATAAATCTTACGGTAAAAAATACCAGCATCCAGAAGTGCAGGTACATTTTACCTTAATTTGAGAGGAATATTTTTCGGAGTATTTTTTACCATATTTTTATCCGGAATGTTTTACAGTGCATCAGAATATAGCAAAATTTACAATGTTTCTAGCTCCATGGGAACACTAACTACGGGAATTTTACTAAAATCATTACTAAGCTCTATGGGTTTTGGTAATAATTTCAATCAAGTTAGCAACAAAATATTGCTTAATAATATGCGTTAAAATTTGATAAATGTGGTAAAATTTTATAATTTTACTTCTTTTATTTTTTTAAACTATTTTTAAATTTAACTTTTGAATACATCACATACTCAAAATGGCTCTAATCCCAACGAATTCAAATTTAAGACTCACAAGTACTCATTCTTGATAATCGGTACGTATTCAGAACTGCAACTTTACGTGCTCACCTTTGAAGACTTTTTTGTATCAAAAATAAGTGTTTAGAAAATAGTGTATGGAAGAATAGTCTAGTAAAAAATGCTTGCATGACAAATGAGTATGTCATGCATGCATTTTTTATTATGTTACTGTATCAAATATGAGTGTGGAGCAAACAAAAATTTTCATGTGCAAGTGATTATTCCTTTTTTACTAGAAACATTTATTAATAACTTCTCAAAGGAAAAAATTTTAGTAAATACCTAATTAACATATTATTTACTTGGTGAATGTATTCAACCTTTCTTTAAATTTGTCATAAAAAGCAATCGTAAATAGAATTATAATTAAAGAGTTTCATTAACAAATTGAAATAATGTTAATATAAAAAATAAGACACTTAACTTTAAAAATTTGAAATGAGATCATGGAAATTATACTCGTTCAGTTTTCTCTGAATGAAAGAAACCATTTCAAAAATAATGTAGCAAGTATAGATGCGAGCACGATGTAGCAGATACGTCGTAGTCGATATCGTAGATACTCATTTTAAGCGCTTGTGTATTCATCCACCCACAGTATCATGGGGACGAAATATAATTTTAACGATTTTAGCGAACAAAATTTGTCACTGCGCTCTTTTTTTTTAAATGCTTATAAAAGTTTATAAAACATAGTTAAATATAGTTTATAAAGTATATAAAAGTAGTTTGTAAAGTATAGTTAGATAAGTTTATAAAAAAAACTCTTTTAGTCTGTGATATCTGAAATAAATTATTCGCAGAAGTTAATTTTCTTTTTTTGTTTTTGGTTTTGAATACATGTAGTGTTTCATATTCAATAACGGCATGAGATCAAAATGAATACAAAAATACCCATTTCAAAGCAAGTGGGCCTACATATTCATTTTTAAATAATTCTTTTTAGTCCGTGTATATTTTGGTTTCATTGCCAGAATTATTTTCGTTTTACTAAATATATATATTTACAGAACTAACTTAACCTAAGTCTTTTACTCGCGTGCACGTCATTCGCTAGTCTTTTTAAACTAAAAAAATTATCATGATTCAACAATACGTAAAACATTTAATACAGTTAAATATAGACGTATATTTGCATTATATTGAGAAAGAGATACCAAATAAACGAAATACAGAAAATAAACTAAATTAATTTCATCTAACTAAAGAAAGCAATAGGAAAGCATGTATTAATACTTCTCGTTTTTTGAAAACTCGTTCTAACCAAGAATGACTTACCGACTTGAAACAAGACAATGAAATATCCAAATTGCTTATTAAGTCTGAGGAGAGCCATGGTGAGGAGAGAACAGCAATTGTGCTTCTAACAAATGTTCTATGCCTCATAAAAGACAGAGGTGTGTTTTTCTTCCTAATACTACGTATGACAACACAATCGGAATAGGAATAGCTTTTATGTCCGGTGACTGCAAACTCTCTCTCTGCCAATATCTTTTAGTTATTTACAGGTGACGTAATGCCTAGATCACTTTTAATATACTGGAATTTTTTTTTTTTTCATCACTGATACAAAATCATGACAAAGAAAAACATCTGGTAGAAAACGCTGCCAAATAACTCTTCGAAATGATATTCTTATGATTAAATCATAGACGCGTGGTTTAAGGCTTCTCGTAAATTGTGTTCGTAATTTTTTCTCGTAAATTGTGTCCTTTGGACTCTTTTAAAGTCGATATCATTTTCACAACCATAATTTTTTTTATCTAAATTGATATCATTTATACGATATTCTGTAATCACTATCATCATTATGCATTTTTAAATTATTCGCCAAAATTGCGAAAAAAAAGGGAAGAAAAGAGAAAACTATGCATCACAAATTCACAATTTTATTTTTTATTATTATTTGACCCTTATAATTAAGTTAAATTATTATTATCATTTCATTTCATTTACCCAAAGATAATTCCATGCATAATAGAGCATTTAGTAAATATTTACTAATTTCTATTATTTTATTTACTAGTAGCCAAGAAAAATTTGAATTGTAAAGTATAAAATTTTTTACATCATTTGAAAAATTGCAATTTTCAATTACAAACTACTAAATTTGAGTGAAATCATTTAAATAGCTCCAAGGAAATTGAATTTTGAGAAAGCTCTATTGTGCCAATGTATTTTTAAAATTAATTTTAAATTAAATTTATTGGTTTATATAAGTTATTATATGCTATTTAATTTTATAGTAAAAGACATAACACTTTATCCTTAATTTTTTTTTCAAATTTTTAAAAAAAAAATATTTGTCTTTTGCTTATAGTAAATTTTTAATAAAATAAACGAGAATTCTTTTTTTTTTTTTTTTCTTCNCGTAAAGCGTGTTCGTAATTTTTTCTCGTAAACTGTGTCCTTTGGACTCCTTTAAAGTCGATACTATTATCGCACCATAACCTTTTTTATCTAAATTAATATCATTTATACGATATTGCGTAATCACCATCATCATTATGCATTTTTTAAATTATTCGCCGAAATTTTAAAAGGAAAGGAAAGAAAAAAGAAAACTATGCATCACAAATTCACAATTTTATTTTTTATTATTATTTAACTCTTATAATTAAGTTAAATTATTATTATCATTTTATTTCATTTACCTAAAGATAATTCCATGCATAAGTAAATTCCATTGCATTTAGTAAATATTTAACATTTTTTTATTTTTTTATTTAATAGTAGTCGAAAAAATTTTAAATTGCAGGGTATACAATTTTTTACATCATTTTAAAGATTGCAATTTTCGATGGGAAACTACAAAATTTGAGTGAAATCATTTAAATAGTTCCAAAGAAATTGAATTTTGAGAAAGCTCTATTGTGCCTACGTATTTTTAAAATTAATTTGAAATTAATTTTATTGGTTCATATAAGCTATTATATGCTAGCTAATCTTATAGTAAAAGACATAAAACTTTATCCTTCATTGTTATTTATTTTTTTTTTTAAATATGCTTCTTTTGCTTATAGTAAATTTTTAATAAAATAAATAAGAATTCTTTTTTTTTTCTGCCTTCTCTCTTCCTTCCTTTGCTCTTTTTTTCTCTATTCTTCCTAGATGTTTGTTTTTACATATTTTCCATGAAGATTATCGACAAAGCAAACAGCTTTAAGTTATCAAGCTTTGTAGCAGCGATATCTTCTTAAACACTTAGAGTTCTTCAATATTCTTGAATTTAAAGGAGCATTTCCAAGAAATAACAGAGCTGAAGTAGATATTGATAAGAAATGTATTTAAAACTGTCTGATAAATTCGAACGGTGTCACGAAAAGTACATAAATAAACTGATTTCAAGCTAAACCTAAAATACAAACTTCATTTTGTTACAATTGCCCCTCTTCTAAACATTTTGAGTTCATTTACGTTTTAGAATTTGGTAAGTTACAGTTATATTTTGATGCTTTCTAAGATTCACTCCCAAGAAAAATCTTTTCAGGCGCCTAACCAAATTAAATACATTTTAAGATTTTTCTTTGGGATAGTAATGTTGTTCTCAAATTATTAGATAGCAAAAGTTTTTTTTGAATATATGTTGCTTACCAACCCCAGGAGCAATATCTAATACTATGATTTATTAAATGCTTGTTTGGGTATTTTTTCTTAAATCTTGTAAGATTTATTGTTTCCAAAACCTTACGTTATATTAACTTCGAAGTTCAATCTTCGGCTAATGTTCATAAACTTTTCTCAGTTACTGGAGACTCAGTTACTAATACAAGCTAAATAATTGACTTGTTGCATCTTGTTTTAGTTATTTTTTTTCTTAATTACTCATTCCCAGTCTGATTTGCATTCTTGACCAGTGGTTTCCATTCTTGCTCCTCGTTGTCCGTAAGTTTTAGACGAACGGCTTTCGGCAGTGTGTACTCGATTGGTTGCCAATCTTCCTTCCCGCTGCTCAGATGTTTCTGAAACACGGGTAACTTTATATTTTTTGTAAGTTTGAGGCTTGAGGTAAAGATCTACTAGATAGCTATTCGTTTAGGTGGCATAATTTTGCAAAATCGAAGATATATATATATATATATATATATATATATATATATA